ACAAATAGTTTCATGGTCCATCTCTTTGAATGATTTTCATTCCTAATTCTAGGAGGGTACATGGGTTGACCCAAATTCATGAATGAAATGTCAAGTAATCTTATCATTGATGCACTTTTATTTAATTTGATGTAGTCATATTATGAACATTTCCAGTTCATTAAGAGAGTGGGGATGACCTCCAGGGGTTCATAACCTTAAACCATTAGATGTACATAACATAATAACACAAGAAACAAAATTATGTATAGTCAAATGGAAAAGTCTTCTACTATTTAGGAGTCACATGATCATTTGTCATTTTAGGGACAGGGAGCGGCTAGGGAGATTGGAACCCCCCCCCCCCCCCCCACCTGGAATTTGCAGAGTTATTTAAATAGGACTATATACTGATTTACAGAAGCAAATAAAAATTGACTTTGGATACCCTCCCCCTTTAAAAACATGGACCCCACCATCATTGTTTTTATTTTGTGTGTTTGTTTGTTTGTTTTTTTTTTTTTTTTGCTCCTCAGGAAATTCTGGGCTGGAATTTTTTTGGACTGAGGTGTGGACCCCCCTCCCCCCCCGGAAAAAAATTCCCGGATCTGTGCCTGTAACTGAATGTAATGTATTGTAGACAACGGGAGATAACTCTTCAGAATGTGAAATTCGTCTATTGTGGCATCCGATGATCCACTCTCTACCATCGGCTCATACATTCAGTGTCTGCACAGGGGCTTGCTCCCGGCGTGTAATAATTATTTATTTTAAAAAAATCATATACGTTAATACTAAAACTACATTAACGTATATGATTTTTTTTAAATAAATAATTATTACACGCCGGGAGCAAGCCCCTGTGGTGTCTGTGAGAGAAACGAACGACAACTCTGCATAGGAGATTGCCGATGATCTTTGATTCTTTTTAAACTTTAACCTAACCATTTGCATTTCGGTTTATTTTACCCCAATCTATACTTAAACTTGTACTTACCGACTGTCATAGGTCCTGTCAACTTCATGAAATATAATCCAATTAAAACACAAAATGAATTAATTTCCACTGATATACATGTAACACTGCACCATGTCACATGGCATGTGCAATCTAAAAATGATAATGGTAAAACATAGGCGCCTAGTACTAGCACTGGTAGGGTGACGCAAGCCCAGTGTGATGTAGAAATTTTCAAAAAGGTGTTCACATACATGTACAGTACAAGAACAAATTTGAAATTATCATAACAAACGATGTTTTAACATAACTTTGCCATCTAGGCCTATTTCCAAAAACAGGCAAATTGTGTGTGTGTGTTGGGGAGGGGGGGGGGGGTAACAAAATTGATTGGGTATGGCTTTTCAAAGAGGTTTTTGCCTAATCAAATACTAAAAAAAAGTTTGCACATTTTGATAAATTCATCAAAAACGCTTTGTACTAAAATAATATTATTTCTGGTTGAGAAAATAAATTTTAAAAAGTTCCAATTATGGGCCAAAAATTTATATCCCCCCCCCCCTTTTATCAAAACCTAATTTACATCATTAATTAAATTCTGTTATTTCAGACTGGTAATGAATTAAGTATATGAAATGCGCATAAGAGGTTCATGGGTCACATGGTCACCTGAGCATTTTATGCTCGATTTGACGAATACATGTACTGTGTAAATTATAGAATTATTTGGACTTCTTCCTTGGTAAGCCCAGTATGAAGGAGTGTGCATTTAGAGGCAAACACCTTAGTGCGGGTATTACTGTCTCATGACAGCATCTAGTTATACTGTTAGGACTAGCTCCTATTATACCAGCCTACACCTGAAATCAATAACAATAATAATACTGTTAGGACTAGCTCCTATTATACCAGCCTACACCTGAAATCAATAACAATAATTATACTGTTAGGACTAGCTCCTATTATACCAGCCTACACCTGAAATCAATAACAACAAAAAGCCCAAGGGCCTTGAATCACTCTTCTGATAATTGTACAACCTATCACTTCTATTTGACTCCTCCAAGTATCCTGTATATTAAGATAAAGTAAAGCCTTGAAATTCCAAATGTACATCATTATGACCTACATTTTAGTTAAAGCAATCTGAGAACCCAAGCTGCATCAACTGACAAAGTTTGATGATTCTAAGCCAATTAGTAAAAATATTAAAATATATACTAGGCATAACATCAAAAAGTAAGTCATGGTAACCTACTTTTCAGTTGACATACTCTGAGGACCCAAGATGCATCAACTGACAAAGATTGATGATTCTAAGCAAACAAGAGGCCCATGGGCCACAACGCTCAACTGAGTCAATATGGCCCTGTTGTTCTTCGTCAGCAGATTTTCCTCCTATATATTCATATGTAAAGTTTTGATCGCCTGTCACCAAACTTGAATCTATACTACCTGAGGATGCTTCCATATCAATATGACTAATCATGGCTTTCCTGTTCTTGAAAAGATTTTTAAAGATTTTTCCTATATATTCCTATATAAAACTTTGATCCCCAGTTGTGGCCTCACCCTACCCTCAGGGGTCATGATTTGAAAAATATTGAATATACACTACCTAAGGATGATTCCATATTCAATATGACTAATCATGGCTTTGTTGTTCTGTAGAAAAAGATTTTAAAGATTTTTTTCTATATATTCCTATGTAAAACTTTGATCACCCATTATGTCCCCACCCTACCCCGGAGGTCATGATTTGAACAAACTTGAATCTACACTACCTGAGGAGGATTCCATATCAATATGACTAATTGTGGCTTTGCTGTTCTTGAGAAGATTTTAAAAGTTTTTTTTCCTATTTATTACATGTATTAAAAACTTTGATCCCCCATTGTGGCCCCACCCTAGCCCAGGGGGTCATTATTTGAAAAAAATTGAATCTACACTAGCTGAGGATGATCCCATATCAATATGACTAATTGTGGCTTTGTTGTTATTGAGAAAAAGATTTTTCAAGATTTTTCCTATATATTCTAAGTTTCAACTTTTCTGGCCCAATGGTTCTTGAGAGGAAGATTTTTAAAAGATGACACCAAATTTTCACCAATTCTTAATTATCTCCCCTTGGAAGATGGCATGGCCCTTCATTTGCACAAACTTGAACCCCCTTCACCCAAGGATGCTTTGTGGCAAGTTTGGTTGAAATTGGCTCAGTGGTTCTGGAGAAGAAGTCAAAAATGTGAAAAGTTTACAGACGGATGGACAGACAGACAGACAGATGGACATGACGGACTACATACAAAATGTGATCAGAAAAGCTCACTTGAGCTTTCAACTCAGGTGAGCTAAATAGTACATAAATAATAATATAAATAAATACATTAAATAATATATACAGTCATAAACTTTCAAAAATAGGTCACAATGACCTACTTTTTAGTTGGCATTCTCCAAGGACCTAAGATGCATCGTCTGACAAAATTTGATGATTGTAAGCCAGTTAGTACCTAAATATTAAAATATAGCCATAAAATTTCAAAAGTAGGTCATGGTGACCTACTTTTCAGTTGACACACTTCGAGGACTCAAGATGCATCAACTGACAAAGTTTGATGATTCTAAGCCAATTAGAACCTGAAATATATAAATATAGCCATAAAATTTCAAAAGTAGGTCACGGTGACCTACTTTTCAGTTGGTTCCAGTAAATGTTTTACCAAGCCTCTTTCTTTACTCCTCACTAAGATATTAACAGTAGTGAAGGAGAATCTTCAAGAGTACTGTGCAATAATATATTTGAGAAGTGGTGTAAATCAGATGTGGATACTAAAAAATTCCAAGGAACTTTTGGAACATTTGAAATCACAAAATTTTACCAAAATCAACAACATAAAAACTAATGACTTTCTGACATCGTTGACAGCTGCTTTTTCAATAAAAATGGAACTCGTAAATTTACTTACCTTGTCATTGGTCATTTGCAAAATTACTTTGTTAAAAAACAATCTGATTGTACACATAAGTACTCTGAAGTTGACAATAAAAAGATGCTCGAGTTTCTGATTGACAATACCTATGTGGTTTTTGGAGACCAGGTCTTCCAAAAAGCTATTGGAATTCCCTTGGGTACCAATTGTGCCCCGTTATTAGCAGACCTATTTTTGTATTCATATGAAGCAGAATTTGTTCAGAATCGTTTATGTGAAAAGAAGAAAACACTTGCTGTGGCCTTCAACTTGACATTTAGATATATCGACGATACTGTCAATTAACAATGGTTATTTTCCATTCTTATGTCGACAAGATATATCCCAGTGAGCTTGAGATAAAAGATATCACTGATTCTGACACATCTATTTCATATTTGGATCTTTTATTAGAAAAAGACGTTAATGGTGATCTAACAACAAAGCTTTATGATAAATGTGATGACTTTAACTTTTCAATCGTCAACTTCCCTAACTTATGCAGCAATATATACCCTTATCACCTGCATACGGGGTTTATATCTCAGTTGATTTGATACGCCAGAGCATGTTCTACATGTGAACAATTTCTAATAACAAGGTAAGTTATTGACAAACAAGTTGATGAAACAAGAATATCAGCAGTCTCGTTTAAAGTCATCATTTCATACGTTCTATGGTCGATACAATGACCTTGTCAGCAAATACAATCTTTCATTAAGTCCAATGCTGACTGACTTTTTTCACACTAATTGTTAGGCCATTATTTACACACTGAATTGTCAACAGATTTTCCCATTATTTCCCAATCATGACAAGGAGTACACGGCGGGTGTGGGGGGTCAGCAGGGGATGCTCACTCCTCCATGGCACCTGATCCCACCTCTGATGTCTTAGAGGTCTGTATTTGCTCTGCTCCTATCTTGTAATGTTTAATGGACTTTTGAGCTCGAATACTGTTCGTTATCTCCACATATTTCATTGATGTTCTTTGAGGACCTAAGATGCATCAACTGAAAAAGTTTGATGATCATAGGCCTTAAAGTGTTCAAAATATGCCTCTAAAACAATTTGAAATGAGATATTATAGCCACCTTTTTGTAAGATCCAAACTCTCCACTAGAGCCTAGATGAATAGAGTATGTAAAGTTGACCATGTCTGCTATCTGTATCAGCATGTCTATACAGTATCCCCAGCAGCAGTAGTCTTCTTTAATACCTACAACATATATATCATACTGTACAGGGAGCTCCATATCACCAGTTTATTGTACTACTCAATACGCTGTATTATAAGGACAGCAACCTTAACTATTCTACACAATTTGGTTTACCTTGAACTCAAATTTTAAAATATCCACAATACCGTCAATTACAATCAAGTATATATCAGATTAATAGTCAGATGGTCAAGTCAATCCATTTCTTTTTTATTCACTATATTTGATATTATACTAAACAAGAGACCCATGGGGCTAGAAAACACTTTTTATTTACTGCAGACCAAACAAAATATTACATTTTTGCTGTCTGTCTGTCTCTCAAACAACTGGAATACATGTGGAATGTACAGTACATGCATGTGGATAACATCTGAAAGAAGTTATGACATTATATTGAAGATTCTTTAACTGGTCTTAAATTAAGGTCAAGATCTAGTAAATGAAAGGTGCCTACGGATTTTTCAAATCTTAGAAACGAGTTCTTTTAATGATTCTTTACAAATATAGCTTGGTAAAATAAGGTGTTTCGGGACATAATTTTTTGATAAACTAGACGAAAAGACATACTTTAAACAGTAATTTTTAATGAAAAACAAAGAAAGTCAAGTATAAATTTCGGAGTTTTTACCCATCTCAGATAAAAGAAATGTATCAATATTGCCTACATGCAGTCCCTAAAAAAAACGGTTTTTTGTTTCTTCTTAATCTCTACTTCAAAATGATATTAAATTGAATATAGATATCAGGGTTACTTTTGACATGAATTCAAATTGAATACAATGAAAATGCTTCATTTTCTACATAATTCTATTACAGATGTAAAGTACAGGAAAAATTAAGCTAAAATCAATTATGACATCATAATGGATCTACAGTCCCTGAAACGTTCTACTTTCCCACTTGAACGGTGAGCGAACGCTGAACGAAAGGTGAACAAACGCTGAACGAACGGTGAGTGAACGATGTGTGAACGCTGAACGCAACTTGGTGAACGATGTGTGAACGCTGAACGGTGAGCGAACGCAGAACGCGGAGCGCAAACGCGAACGCAAAGTGAACGGTGAACGAACGGTGAACGCAAGATGAACGATTTGTTCGGAATGCCTCTGATCTTTTCCTTACATTGAAACTATTCTATTGTATGTATGCCTGGTGCTAAATGAATAATAGATAAATAAACAAATCAATGAAAAGTATCCTAAGAAAGACGATACAGGCACATTAAGTAAAATTTTTATTTAAGTTTTTAACAATATTTTCTGCGCATATGTACGATGTTTAAATTCAACTTTTTAAAAACACGATTTTTATATCTGTAAAACATTGTAATTGTTACCGAACGCTGAAGTATAAAAGATAAAATTAATCTAGTTGTAAAATAAATATGTTTATTCTTATTTGATATATAAAATCATTACAAATAATGTGGATTTTAGAAGAGCAAACTACGGACTTATAGAATGAATTACAACGGTTGTAACAACCATACATATATTTCCGTGCCAAGACGATTCCGTGTAAAACTAGTGCTAATTGTAACGGGAACCGTTACAGATGTTCCCCAAACGGCTCCCCAATCCCTTATGATGCCCCATTCCCTACAAGCTTCAATAAATTAGACAATACTTTTGTAATATAGATGGACACTTTATTTTTAAGGGTATTTTATTGGAAAACTACTCCGATATAGCCATATGGGTATTAGCCAATCAAATTTCAGTGCATGTGCTTGCACATGTTTTCTACATTTTTCACATTTATTTTCTTATAGTGTCTCACAATACATACATTTGTTTTAAATATTAAAGAATTTCATTGATAAATAAGAGAGATGTGACCATTTAAGTATTAGCCAATCAGAATTCAGCATACGCGCATGCATGGCCTTGCATTCAATTTTGATAGTATCATAATGTAGGAGTTCTATGTGCCTATCCATGTCATAAATTTCATCCTGTTTTGTTGAAAACCAAGGGAGTTATAGACATTTAAAGTTTCAACCAATCAGATTGCAGCACACCTGCATGCACATGTTTTCAAGAAATTTCCTATATAACATGTTGTAGCACCTTATAATATATACTTATATTCTAAATTTCAAAGTATTTTGCCAAAAAACAAGGAAATTATTGAGATTTTTGTATCAGCCAATCAGAGAAGAACGCACGTGCATGCGCGTGAGTTCACACTAATTTGACCATGTCATCTTGTCTAGACTACTAATATATCTTTATATTTTGAGTTTCAAAGCAATTCATCAAGAAATATAAAAGTTACGACTTCATCAAGTATATCAGTCATTTCACTCATTGCACGCGCGCGCACGTGCATGCATGTGCGCGCAAAATGACCTTCGTTCCGAACACCTACGCAACATGCCCATTAACCCTAAAAAGGTTTCATGTCAATCGGATGAGTGGTTCTATGAGAACACTCCCGGACAAAAAAGTACCGGAGAAGAAAGTAGAAAAAAAGAATAATAATAATAATAACTAGTGCTAATTGTAACGGGAACCGTTACAGATGTTCCCCAAACGGCTCCCCAATCCCTTGTGATGCCCCATTCCCTACAAGCTTCAATAAATTAGACAATACTTTTGTAATATAGATGGACACTTTATTTTTAAGGGTATTTCATTGGAAAACTACTCCGATATAGCCATATGGGTATGAGCCAATCTAATAGCTACATTTTTTACATTAATTATCTTATAGTGTCTCACAATACATACATTTGTTTTAAATATTAAAGAATTTCATTGAAAAATAAGAGAGATGTAACCCTTTAAGTATTAGCCAATCAAAATTCAGCATACGCGCATGCATGGCCTTGCATTCAATTTTGATAGTATCATAATGTAGGAGCTCTATGTGCCTATCCATGTCTTAAATTTCATCCTGTTTTGTTAAAAACCAAGGGAGTTAAAGACATTTAAAGTTTCAACCAATCAGTTTGCAGCACACCTGCATGCGCGTGTTTTCAAGAAATTTCCTATATAACATGTTGTAGCACCTTATAATATATACTTATATTCTAAATTTCAAAGTATTTTGTCAAAAAACAAGGAAATTATTGAGATTTTTGTATCAGCCAATCAGAGAAGAGCGCACATGCATGCGCGTGAGTTCACGCTAATTTGACCATGTTGTCTTGTCTAGACTACTAATATATCTTTATATTTTGAGTTTCAAAGCAATTGATCAAGAAATATAAAAGTTACGGCTTCATCAAGTATATCAGTCATTTCACTCATTGCACGCGCGCGCACGTGCATGCATGTGCGCGCAAAATGACCTTCGTTCCACACACCTACACAACATGCCTATTAACCCTAAAAAGGTTTCATGTCAATCGGATGAGTGGTTCTATGAGAACACTCCCGGACAAAAAAGTACCGGAGAAGAAAGTAGAAAAAAAGAATAATAATAATAACTAGTATTAATTGTAACGGGGACCGTTACAGATGTTCCCCAAACGCTCCCCAACTTCCTTTTGGTGTCTTATTCCCTGTAAGCTTCATTAAATGAGGCAATCAAGTATATTAGTTTTTTTTACGCATTACACGCGCGCGCGCACAGGCATGCATGTACAAAATGACCATGGCAACTTGTCTACACTTTTAATACATCTTTATATTCAAATTTCATTAAAAGATTTTAAAAAATTCGGCTATATGAAGTATATCTGTCATTTTACGCATTGCACGCGCGCGCACGTGCATGCATGTCCATGATGATCGTGTCATCTTGTCAACATTATTAATATATCTACATATTTCGGGTATCAAATCATTTCATCAAAAAGTATAAAAGTTACAGCTATATCAAGTAAATTGGTCATTTTAGCATTGCATGCGCGCGCACGTGCATGCATATGAATGTTGACAATGTCGTCTTGTCTACATTTATTATATGTCTTTATATTCTGAGTATCAAAGCATTACATCAAAAAATGTAAAAGTTCTGGCTATATCAAGTATATTGGTCATTTTACTCATTGCACGAGCACGCACGTGCATGCAAATGCATGCATGTGCGCGCTGATCATGTTATCTTGTCTATACTTCTAATATATATTTATATTCTGAGTTTCAAAGCAATTCATCAAAAAATATACAGTTAAGTCTATATCATTTGTATAGGTTATTGTAATAATTGCGCATGCGCACACGTGCATGCATGTGCATTCTGACCTTGTCATCTTGTCTACACTATTAATATATCCTGATATCCTGAGTATCCAAGCATTTCATCAAAAGATATGAAAGTTATGCCTATATCAAGTATATTTGTCATTTTACTCATTGCACGCGCACGCACGTGCACGCACGTGCATGCATGTTTGCGCTAATCAAGTCCTCTTGTCTACACTTCTAATATATATTTATATTCTCAGTGTCAAAGCAATTCATCAAAAAATGTACAAGTAAAGTCTATATCAATTGTATTGGTTATTTCGATCAATGCGCATGCGCGCACGTGCATGCATGTGCATTCTGACCATGTCATCTTGTCTACACTATTAATATATCCTTATATTCTGAGTATCAAAGTATTTCATCAAAAGATATGAAAGTTATGGCTATATCAAGTATATTGGTCATTTTACTCATTGCACGCGCAAGCACGTGCATGCACGTGCGCGCAAAATGACCTTCGTTCCGCAAATCTACATAACATTCCTATTAACCCTAAAAAGGTTTCAACTCAATCGGATGTATAGTTTCGGAGATCACTCACGGACAAAAAAGTACCCAGGAAGAAAAATAATAATAATAATAATAATAATAAGAAACAGAGTAAAAACAATATGTTCCCAAACTTCGTTTGGGGAACATAATAACTAGAAACCTTGTTGCCATGGCAACAAGAAGGTCTTCCGTCCCTTCTCTGTCTTCATAGATGTTGATTCCTCTTTAAACTACATGTTATGTTGTGCATTCCCTGTCACACCTTCATACAAAAAATAGTTCCTTCGCCATGCGCTCGGCACTTT